CTTCACTAAAGAGGCCACTAGAAATTGATAAATTGGATAATGGTATTTACAGACTTGTGCAGTCCTCCCCTTCTCTTCAATCTCATGCAATAGCATGTCAGTCTAGTTTTATAATTGCCCCTTTACTTGTTGAAAATATTCCTTGTAAATATCATTCTCCATTAGCTGTTGATTCTGTTTCTTGTTCTCATTGTACATATAATTCTGAATTGAATAAAATGGAGATGTTATGGCATAATAGACAGGGGCATATACCATTTGTTAGGATGAAAGAAATTTCTCACATACCTTGTAAATTTTCCACTAAACATCCTTTCATTTGTACTGTTTGTCCATTAGTAAGGTAACTTTGGTTACCTTTTCCTGATAGTTCTATTAAAACTACACATCATTTTCAACTTATACATGTGGATACCTGGGGTCCTTATGGAACTCCTACTCATAATGGGTGTAAATATTTCCTAACCATAGTTGATGACTTCACTAGAGCTACTTGGACTAACCTTATGGGGTCCAAGAGCAATGCTTTTTCTCTTATCAAAGCTTTCATTGCCATTATCAAAACACAATTCCAATTTGTTGTACAAACCATTAGAAGTGACAATGTATTTGAGCTTGGGTCTAGTAATTGTGGCAGTAATTTCTTTGCTGAAAATGGAATAATCCACCAAACTTCTTGCTCTCACACACCACAACAAAATGGTGTGGTTGAAAGAAAGCATAGATATCTATTAGAAACCTCAAGAGCCTTACTCTTTCATTCTCACCTACCTATTAGATTCTAGGGTGATTGTGTGCTTACTGCTACCTATCTTATAAATAGATTCCCTTCTAAACTTCTTAACAACAAATGCCTTTTGAGTTACTTTTTGGACAAACTCCTTCTTATGACCATATTAAAACATTTGGTTGTCTCTGTATTGCCTCAGTCCCCAAATGTCATAGGGATAAGTTTCAACCTAGAGTTGACCCTTGTGTTTTTCTGGGATATCCATTGTCTAAAAAGGGTTACAAATTATACAACTTGAAAACTAAGCTTACCCTAATATCCAGGGATGTAGTCTTCCATGAAAATGTCTTTCCCTTTGCTTCTTCTGTGTCCATTCCCAATGCTATTTCTCTTCCTCTTAACCCCTCTACTAGTTGGAGTTTCCCTACTAACAATTCCTTGCATGATACTTCTTCAACTTATGTACCCCCTACTTCCCTTTCACCATCTCCTTCTTTTTCACATCAACAATCTCCTTCTTCCCCATCTCCTCCTTCTTCACAACACCAATCTCCTTCTTTGCCCACACCACCTGCTCCAAGGAGGTTCAGCAGGACTCATGTTCCTCCTTCTCATCTACAACATTATGTTTGTAACCTTCCTCCATCTCTGTCTGGCCCCAGTTCTTCTTCTGCTTGTCTTCATAGTTTAGTTAACACTGCTGAGGTAGAGCCTACCTTATATTAGTAGGCTGCCTCTATTCCTGCATGGCAGGAAGCCATGAGGAAGAAGTTTGAAGCTTTAGAAGCCAATCATACTTGGTCTATAGTTCAACTACCTCCAGGTAAGAAACCCATTGGTTGTAAATGGGTTTATAAGATCAAGTATAAGGCTGATGGGACTGTGGAAAAATATAAGGCTAGATTGGTTATTAGGGGTGACACCCAAGTTGAGGGTGTGGATTTCACTGAAACCTTCTCCCCTGTTGTCAAATTTTCAACTGTTAAGTGCCTTGTTGCTATCGCTGTCAAACAAAATTGGCCTCTTTTTTAACTTGATGTCAACAATGCTTTTTTCATGGTGATTTGGATGAAGAGGTTTATATGAAGTTGCCCCCTGGGTTGTCAGCCACCCCTTTATCTGGTTTTGCTTCATCTTCTTCTCCCTTGGTTTGCCTTCTTCAGAAGTCCTTATATAGTTTGAGACGGGCTTCTAGGCAATGGTATGCCAAGATGTCTCAAGCCTTATGTTCCAAGGGATACTCTTCTTCTCTAAATGATTTCTCCCTCTTTTCTAAGAAGTCTGCTTCTTCTACTGTCTTGTTGGCTGTATATATTGATGATATTATTCTCAATGGTAATGATTTGGAAGAAATTACTTATTTAAAGAGTTTTCTGGATAATGAGTTTAAGATCAAAGACTTGGGGGTTCTCAATTACTTTCTTGAAATTGAAGTTGCTTACCACTCTGATAGCCTGCTCCTTCATCAGAGAAAGTTTATTAAAAGTTTATTAAAGACCTGTCTGTCAAGCTCAAGGTAGATATGGGTGATCCTTTTCCTTCTCATGAGACCTATAGAAGTCTGGTGGGTAAGCTCAACTTTCTCACTCACACTAGACTAGACCTGGCTTTTGTTGTACAACATCTCAGTCAATATCTTCAGAAGCCTACTTCCTCTCACATGCATGCAGCCTTGCATATACTCATATATCTTCAAGGTTCTTCTGAAGTTGTGGTCTTCATCAGCAGCTCCCCTCATCTTTCCCTATCTGCTTATTGTGATAGTGACTGGGTTGCCTGCCCAGACACCAGGATATCTGTTACTGGGTTCTGCATTCTCTTAGGTGGTTCTCTTATTGGTTGGAAGGCTAAGAAGGAGCATGTTGTGTCTCTTTCTTCTACTGAGACTGAGTATATGGCCATCAGTAAGGTTGTTGGTGAGCTCACTTGGCTTGTTAGGCTGCTTTCTGATTTTGGTGCTCCTGTTCCTGCTGATGTGCCTGTTTTCTATGATAATCATGCATCCATCCACATTGCCAAGAATCATGTCTTTCATGAAAGGACAAAACACATTGAGGTGGACTGCCATTTCATTAGGACAAAGCTTCATAAGGTTCTTATTGCCTTGCACCATGTTCCTACTACTTCTCAACTTGCTGATGTCTTTACTAAGCCTTTGACTGGCCTTGTCCATCATTCCTTACTGCTCAAGCTGGGGGTTCAGTCACCTTCCACCTTGATGGGGGTGTTGGAGTTAAGAAGTTGGACCACAATACTGTTGCTGATGTTGAGGCACACCCCACATAAAAGAAGAAGTCCATTTGTTGTATTTATTTATATCAACCCACTTATTTAGTGAGGCCCATTTTTTTAGTCATTCTTTAGTAGTTAGACTTTTTAGTAGTTAGCCCATTTTGTATATGGCAAAAACTTTGGACTCTTCTAGAACATATAAAAATTATTTTCTCTTTTTCAGTTTGTGAAATGAAAAACTCTCCTTCTCTCTTCTCTCGTTATTTCTTCGGAAGCTTGACATAGATTTCAATCAATCCATGGAAATCAATGTTTTCACATCTCTTTATATCCAATGAGGGACAAAGTTCCTTTGTAAAAATAACAACAACAACAACAACAACAACAACGGCCTAGTGTAATCCCACTAGTGGGGTCTGGGGAGGGTATTGTATGCGCAGACCTTACCCCTATCCTGAGGGGCAGAGAGATTGTTTCCAGGAGACCCTCAGCTCAAGAAAGATACAAGAGACGATATATTAGTACCATCAATAGAATAATAATAAAATAATAGCAATATAGGAAATACGAAATAGATGGAAAGTACAATAATAACCAGTAGATAAAGCCATGCATTAGTAGATAACCACTAGCATCCTAAAACTAAATCTTAACTGTCTAGTCCTACTCGGGTGTGCCGTAGAAATATTCGTAACTTCCTCCTAACCTACAACCTTAATGCTCGACTTCCACAATACCCTGTCAATGGCTATGTCCTCAGTAATCCTAAGATGCGCCACGTCCTGCCTAATCACCTATCCCCAATACTTCTTGGGCCTCCCTCTACCTCTCCTCGTGCCCACCACAGCCAGTCGCTCACACATCCTCACCGGTGCATCAGTGCTCCTCCTCTGAATGTGCCCGAACCATCTGAGTCTTGCTTCCTGCATTTTGCCCTCTATGGGGGCCACGCCCACCTTCTCCCAATATCTTCATTACTAATCATATCCATATTAGTGTGCCCGCACATCCACCTCAAAATTCTTATATTTGCTACTTTCATCTTCTGGATGTGTGATTTCTTAACCAGCCAACACTCAGTCTCGTACAACAAGGCATGCCTAACCACTACTCAATAGAACTTACCTTTTAGTAACGTTGGGACTTTTTTGTCACACATGACACCTGATGCTAACCTCCACTTCATCCATCCTACCCCAATATGGTGTGTGACATCCTCATCGATCTCCCCAATCCCCTGAATAACCGACTCAAGGTACTTGAAACTACCCCTCTTGGGAATAACTTGAGAGTCAAGCCTCATGTCCACTCTTACTACTGTCGGCTCGATGCTGAACTTGCACTCTAGGTATTCCGTTTTAGTCCTGCTCAACTTGAAACCCTTCGACTCAAGGGCCTGTCTCCAGACCTCCAACCTCTCGTTGGCGGCTCCTCGTGTCTCATCAATCAGAACTATGTCATCAGCAAATAGCATACACTATGGCACCTCCCCTTGAATATGATGAGTCAGTGCGTCCATCATCAGGGCAAATAAGAATGGGCTGAGCACAGACCCTTGGTGAAACCCCATATCAACCGGAAAGTGCTTTGAGTTGCCTCTTACCGTCCTAAATCTTTTCTTAGCTTCATCATACATATCTTTAATCACCCTAATATAGGCAACCGGAACCCCTTTAGCCTCCAAGCAGCTCCATAGAACCTCCCTAGGAACCCTATCGTACGCTAGTCTCCTTTGTGTCCACAGGTGCGGCCCGAAGATATCCCTAATAGCTCTCTCGCCACCTTCCTTATACAGTCCGCCGTCGTCGACCACATAATGTTCGCGTCCCCACTACTCCTCCAAGCTCCCATAGCCGATAACCTTCCTCCCAACTCCTGAACTTTATCCTCAGTCAAGGCGCCCCACCTAATCCTCGGACGACCTCGTACTGACCTCTTCTTCCTCCGTATCATAATACCAATGTCCATCACCAAAAGCCTATGTTGCGTTGCGAGGGTCTCACCTGGGATAACCTTGCAATCATCACACAACCTTCTATCACATGAGAAGATAGTTAATCTGAGTCCTCGCCACCGAACTTTTGAAAGTAACCAAATGCTCCTCCCGCTTCGGAAAACTTGAGTTCGCAATCACCTGCTCGAATTCCTTTGCGAAGTACAATAGTGAAGTGCCCCCACCGTTCCGCTCCCCGAAACCGAAGCCGCCATGCACCTCAGTATAACCACTTGCAGATGACGCAATATGACCATTGAAATCTCCTCCTATGAATAACCTTTCGACAGGCGGAATACTACGCACGATCTCATCTAACCCTTCCCAAAAGTGCCTTTTAATCTCCTTATCCAAGCCAGCTTGCGGCACGTACGCGCTAACGACATTTAACGTACACTCACCAACCACCAACTTGATAGTCATTAATCTATCATTCACCCGCCTAACCTCTACCACAGATCCTCTGAGATGTCTATCTACCAAGATATCCACTCCATTCTTACCCCTCAGGACTCCAGAGTACCACAACTTATACACATCTGCATCTTTCGCCCTCGATCCGACCCACCTAGTCTTCTGAACACACGCTATATTAATCTTCCTCTTCTGGAGGATCTTTGCCAACCCTATAGACTTACTCGTTAGTGAACCTATGTTTCATGACCCGATTCTTAACCTATAGGCTCCATTGCCCCCTCTACCTCTTCCACCGCCTGTCCCACCCTCTGGCCACCGCCTCACACTCTGCCCTACCCGAGGACATGCCCTTACTCTATCATCCCAGACTACAGCCATTACACCTACGACAAGCTAAAGAAAACTCGCTAGCACACAACGATCAACGAACCAAACTGGAAAGAAACAAGTAACTACTAGCACACTAGTTGTAAAATGGAATTAGTGCAAACTAAAGTAACATTAATTTAGCTAACACCAAAAGGGAAACAGTAAAACGGGAGGTACCAAACCCCGAGAACAGAACCTGTGATTGATTTGATGTACTCGATATTGTTGCACACTTACGCCCAGCTTCCCACCACCCTTCGCTGACACTCACCCAGGCTGTTGTCCTTTTCTTGTGCGCGTGCGCCCAACTTATCTCCAGCAACTCCGAGGATTTCCCTGAAAAATACAGAAAATACCACGTACACAAAAGGGGCTATCACCACTACCACTAGTGTAGCCTTGACAGCAAACGAAGACAGGAAAGCAAAACAACAAAAATCTTAGCTAACTAAAGTACACCTTATCAGTGAAACTAAATCTTTGAAAACTTTTACAAATTTTCCAATTAATGAATGAGCCCTTAGTACTGTTGCTGCAGTAGATGGCTAAACAAGAGGATTGAGAATATGAGATAGGGAAAATGACATACCTAGGCCACTGATCAGAGAGGTCGGAACCAACTCACCTGAAGAGGGCGTTCGTCGGAGAGAGATTGCGATGGTCGAAGTCGACCGTTAGTCGAAGAGAGAAAAGGAACTAATTCAAAATTTTATTTTCCTCCATTTTTTTTCCACCATTTTCCATTCACACCTCTTTTATTTTAACTAACAAAACCCAACACAAACTTCAGGAGAAAATGTAAATACATTACTGGTGTGTTTGCTATGTACTCGGTACTTGAGGATTATCTAATATTAGGAATTCTCTCTAATATACTTTAATGATTATATCTCTAATATATTAAGAGGTTGTTTGGTGTAATAGTGCGATATCCCATAGGATTAACTATTCCATATCAATCCCACCATTATAAAATAAAATTTATCCCAAAATTAGCTAATACGTATAAACAAACATGGGATTAATACAATCCAAAATTTTATTCTGAGATTATTATCTTTATCCCTGTTCCAAACGATCCCTAAAGTCATCTAGTAAGCATTAGTCTTATGTAGGGGTGTCAATGGTTCGGTTCGGACGGTTATTTTATAAAATTTGTGCCATACCATTTTTTTCGGTTATTCTATTATGTATAACCAAAATTCGACTTTTCGAAGCCGTCCCAATCATGTCGGTTTCTCTTCGGTATCGATACGGTTAGATTAATTTTCGGTATTTTTTTAAATATCATGTAAAATTTACAAGTAGAAATAGAATGCAATAACATACGTTCTTTTATAAGATTTAGCAAAACTCTCTAGACATTTTTACTGTCTAAAGGGTGATGAATTAAAAAAAAAATACGGCTAGAGTATAGATCCATCAATTATTTTACAACAACGTAAAAGAAATCAAACAAAGACAAAGAAAATATAAATCACACGAGTTGAAAGATATACCAAAATGGGACTCAAGAATAAAGTCTATAGAAAATAAAATATTCAAAAAGATAAATCTAAATTATATGAAAAGAAACATATTCAATACATTGTAGTTTTCTACTCATAATCGCTAGAATACTTTGTATCTTGCTAATACAGATACTTGAAATAATTTAGTTTAAGTAGAAGTAGCATAATATTTTTTAGGAATTAGTATTTTGAGTTTAATTACTTGTTGGCTTATAATAGTTTTCATAATTCCAAGGCCCAAAGAAAATTTAATGCATTATTATTTTTAAACTTACCAAATAGATATATTTTTCACATATAAAATTTATTCGGTACGGTTCGGTATTTTTTCTGCTTATTTTTATATAATAAAAAACCTACCCTAATTATCGGTGCGATTATAAATTTTAAAAGAAACCTAAAAATCAGTTCGGTACGGTACTGTTCGATCGGTTTAGTCGGTTTTCGAATATCCATTGACACCCCTAGTCTTATGTTAGCCTAGTGAGTTAAATTTGTCTGCAAAAAAAAGGAAATCTATCCAACTGCTTCTAGATGCGAAATTCAGGTCGCTAAGCTAAAATGACCATAATTTAAACATTTGCCTTAAATAAGGGAGGAAGTGCACAAACAACCATTCTTAGGACGTGCCACATTGATCCATAGATCGTGTCTCGCAAATTGGTCGATTTATGTGAATTTACCATATGTATTTCATTTTATCTAAGCACGTTTCATTTTAATACTGAATTAAATTGAGGCACAAATATGCAAATTTGTCCTGGAAGCGGAAGAACTGCTGAAATTGCGTGAAAATCCTTACATGGAAAACAAATTCGAGCTTTGTAAATCTCTATTTATTCATACATTGACATGCTCATCCTTAACCAGACTAAAGACATAATATAAACATCGGATATCTACGATAAATACAACAACTTATAAACCTTAATTCCGAAAAAAATTTAGCGAGAAAATTAAATCTTTTGCGGAACGTTCCCAGCAAAACTGAAGTAACAATGGGTGAGAAATGTTCGGAAGAATGTGACAAAGCTGAATGGGACTCCGGAAAAATTGAGCTGACAAATTCAGGATATATTGGCTAATTCCTAAATAGTAACCCTTTAAAGAGGCTACCTGGTGTCATTTCTACTAAAAAAGGCCATGTGGTGCAAATATTTCGGAATGTGCAGCAGTACTGGGCCATCATTACTAGATCAAGATATTTGATTCAAAGTTAAAAGTCCAAACCAAATCACATTAAGGCCCAACTCAAATTTTAACTCAAGACCACAACAATAACCATAGGGATCTCTACAGCTGATCATCTCTTAGATCATCTTCTCCAATGTACCAAAACGATAAGCCAAGCAGAATCTTCCAGAAGTTCCAGAAAATACCCCATTAAATCTCCAACATATTTAAGACGCTCTTATCCTCAAAAGTACACAACAGATTAAAAAAATTGAGAAAAAACGCAGAGAAAAAGGAAAAAAAAGTGTAGAAATGGCGCTTTTTGGTGATCCTTTCAGACGATTCTTATTGAGTCCCACAATTTATCGCAACTCTTCTGGTTCTGCTGCTCTTCTAGATTGGTTTGAATCTCCTAATTCTCACATCTTCAAAATCAATGTCCCAGGTATTGTAGATTTTATTCAAAATCAACTTTTATTTGCTTTTGTTTGAAACTACTTGTAAATAGAAATTGTCATAACCAATTGTGATAATCGACTTGATTGATATTTTTGGTATAGTAGATGTTATTACCTAGACAACCATACTCAATTCAGTAAAATTGTTTGATCTTAAAAATATACCTCAATAACTATAACATTGTCTGCCATTCACATCATTAACAATCCATTTGAATGGGCTTATTTTAAGCCAAATATCAATAATTTTTAAGCCGATCCAAACGAGCACTAAGTAGAATTTTCTGGAAAACAAAAAACTACTAGTTTGAGGAAGATCACCTAGGAATGAGAGGCATAGGGCCAAATGGAGAGACAAAATAGGATGAGTGAGATTAGGGTGGCAAAGGGCAGGTCGAAAATAGTAATGCAAAAATGAATAAATTATTTGTTCCGGCCCACATTTATTACGTATAAAAAACAATTGACCGGCGAATATTATGAATATTCATATTATCCACGGCTTCTTAAATATAATTATTTTTGGAAGAATTTCTAGCCTCTTAAACTTGAGGAATCCCCAATTTGAGGCGTTAATGTAAAAGTTAAACCTATTAGTATTCATTTTATAAGTGTATAATATAATTTTTATCTATATTTAACCTGTTCTTAAATAGTTTATTATCCAACCTATTTGAAATGGATAATATGGGTGGATAATTATTATTTTTTTAATCATTTTGTCACCACTAATGATGATCATATAATCAATTGTAACTTTAAGATTGAGGTGTAGTGGTCAGGGGTGAAGCTTTATGTGACCAAGACTAATCAATTTAACACCCTTCGCTGAAAGATTGTACTGTTTATAGGGTAAAATATTACTACTTATTATTGCTAAAAAATACACTTTCAACACCTTTATTGAATATTCTGGCTTTGTCACTGGTAGTAATGGTTGTACTATAGATCCACTCTTGATTTCGGTTAGGATGCAATCGTTGAAAGGGTTTATGCAAAGTTGTGGAATGAAATTTGACAGGCTATAGCAAGGAGGACATAAAGGTGCAAGTTGAAGATGGGAATGTACTAGTGGTGAAGGCGGAGGGTGGCGGCAAAAAAGACGAATTCCTCGGAAAAGAGAAGGAGATAGTGTGGCATGTGGCGGAGAGAGGCGGAGGAAGAGGAGATTTCTTTAGGGAAATTGAGCTGCCGGATGATGTGAAGGTGGATCAAATCAAAGCTCAAGTTGAGAATGGTGTTCTCACCATTGTTGTTCCAAAAGATGTAACTTCAAAACAATCCAAAGTTAGGAACATTAATATTACCAGTAAGCTGTAAAACCTTGGTTATGGAACAATGGAAATAAGGATGTTTTGTGTAGGTTGTGTTATGGAATTTAATGAATGTAACAAAATTGTTGTAGAATAATCAAAGTATTTGTATCTAAGCTTATGCACTTTATCTATCTTTCCTTTTTCTCTTTCCTAATTTTACACTACAATATACTAAACCATAGATCTTGTTGAAATGCCATTAGTCTTGATTATAGGTTCTTGATTATATATCTAGAATATTATGTTTTTGGTAACGTTGTTTGGTTTAATTATATTTGTGATCTTGTTCTCTTGGAAACACTTTTTATCTTCTTGGCAAGATGATCAGTAAGTATGGTTGGATAATTTATCTATTTTTGAATTACTTATTTTTCTAATATATGAATTGAATTTTGGATTCTAGCAGCAATCAAGTTGGGGTCATTTAATTTGGTTCGGGGAAGTGTAAACACGATCGGTCCCTACAACACTAGGCGTTGGTCCGACTACACTAGGTGTTACCATGTGAATATGATCGGTCCCTACTACACTATATATTACTGTGATAGCAA